AACAAGAAATTTTGACGAAAGATCAAAAGCATCATTCCACACATGATTCTAAAGATATTAATCGAGATTCTGAACAAAAGATTACTTCTAAAAAGTCGATAACAAAGAAACCGTCAAAATCAGGCGATAATGAATCAGATGGTTACGGTACTCAAGATACTGATGATAAGTTGTACGGAAACATTCGTCGAAAAAATATCAAACAGGGTACCAAACCTGGTAAACGAGTTGAAAGACCGAAAATTAGTGATTGGGACTATTCATCATCTGAGTCATCACTAGAAGATACGAAAAAATCATCGTCAACTGTTAGAAATCCGTCACCTTTTAAAGATGAAAAATTGAATATAGATAATACAGATAAAAACAATGACATTGGGCTACAATCAATACATAAAAAAGATCAACAAAAGTTAAGTGTATCAAGTGTATCTGAAACTAGTAAAAAGGTGCATAATAAATCTAGTGCTTCAAGCGCATCTGAAACGGCCAAAAAAATTAAAAGTAGTAGCTATACCTTCAACAATCCCACATTAAAACATCGTGAATTAAAGAATCGAATTTTTGTCGCTACGCCTTCGGGATCAAGTACAAAAATTAAATCTAGTCGCAGGCAAAAAAACAATTTGGTCTCAAATACACAAGGTTCAAAATCCAAAAACATATTAATATCTAATTCAAAAACATTTAATGCGCAAGAGACATCAAGTTCTATCAGGAATCAATATGTAGATGATACAACTAGTGATAGTACAAAACAAACAAGTGGATCAAATTCAAACAGCGAAGGACAAACGGAAGATTGTGATTCGTTTTTCAACTCAGAATGGGTTGAGAGACCGTACCTTACTCCGGAAGATGGTATTACTGATGCATTTGATTTAGACATGATCAAACTTTATCTCACTTTACAGCAGAATAACCAACTGGATAGTGATGGTGAACCGATAGATTGGGTAGAAAAAGAGGAATATACTGTCAGAGTGGGTGGTAAGTAATTATTATTATTATATTATTATTATTATTATTATTATTATTATTATTATTATTATTATTATTATTATTATTATTATT